CAGAGCGATAGGAAGGAGCAGGGGAGGCCTTTGGGCTGCTGAGGGTGGTGGACCAAAGGGCACATCGGATACATCAGGGATGCTACAGAGGTAAGGAGGGGAAAGAGCATGAAGGGCTTGGAAGGTAAAAATGAGTTAGCACTACATGCAGGATAATCTGACAGGAGATAATAATAATTTTCGTTTTCATCATTTTGAGAATCTGGCCGATAGATTATTCCCTCACAGTCATACGCTTGAGCCAAGAATTTATCCTGCCAGTATTATGGAAGATCCAGATTTAATAGGTATATTGACATCCATGTCAGGTGAGTATTATCAGCTTAACTTGCCCCTGAGTGTTGTGGCTACGGGAACAGTTCAAGTGGTCAGACTCCGAAATGAAGCCTGAACACCGACAGAGAGGGGAAGCTGTCTGTAAATTAATTTCCCCCCCCCAGTATATTTGGCATAGGTTATAGGGAAGGGATGTGTCTGTATGAACGGCACGCTTGCCGCGTGACAGGCTCCGTGATTAATCGGAAGTGAATCCATGACTCAAGCTTCAGTTAATCTTTTGATTTTAATCAAGTACAACTTGACGCATCGATAGTCACTAGTGCTATTTCATGTTTCAGAATTTTTGGGAGCTCCTTAATAATGAGTGCAGTAGTCAAGGTTTCGGCTCAATAATATAATTGAAGCATGTGATTGAATAGCTGGAGAAAGAGTTTACAATTGCCTCTCTGTGTTTAATTTTAAACGTTTCCACGATGAAAAAAAAATATCCCTGATTTCCACAGTGAAATGCTAATAAGCCGGCTTTGCTGGGGAGGGCAGGGTAAAAATCTAATGAAATAAATAAATAAAACAATCCAATAGGATTATATACTTTATGATTCAGCAGCCAAATGAGCAATAATATGAGACCCTGGTAATTTACAGGAATTGTGCTATGATGGTCCAAGTATTGTAAAATTGGACAAGTTGATTGAATGTATTTGATGTGTGGCCTGAAAATGCCAGATATTGTTTTTTGGGGCTTTCTCATGGAAAGGATTTTTGGAGACAGGGATGATGCTTCAGACCGAAGAAGACTCTGCATCCTGCCTGACAGGCCCTCCTCACTCCACACATCCATCCCCTGGAAAAACACAACCAACACCATTGGGGCTCCCATACGTCACCAAAGATCCATAACCTTCAAGACCTTGCAGATGAAATCAGAGAGATGCCAGTGTCCTCTCCATTGGAACCATAGAATCACAGAGCTGGAAGGGGCCAGACAGGCCATCTAGTCCAACCCCCTGCCCAATGCAGGATCAGAGTATTCCTTGACAAGTGTTTGTCCAGCTTCTGCTTAAAGATTGCCAGTGAGGGGGAGCTCACCACCTCCCGAGGCAGCGGATTCCACTGTCGAACAACTCTCACTGTAAAAAAGCTTTTCCTAATACCCAGTATTCCTGCCCTTCCTGCCCTTAATTTAAACCCATTATTGCGAGTCCTCTCCTCTGCTGCCAACCGGAACAGCTCCCTGCTCTCCTCTAAGTGACAGCCCTTCAAATACTTCAAGAGAGCAATCAGATCCCACTCCAGCCTCCTCTCCTCCAGACGGAACATTCCCAAGTCCCTCGGCCTTTCCTCATAGGGCTTGGTCTCCAGGCCCCTGATCGTCCTCATCGCTCTAGTCTGCATCCGCTCCATTCTGTCCACATCCTTTCTGAAGTGAGACTTCCAGAACTGCACACAGTACTCGAGGTGCAGCCTGACCAATACAATGTACAGCGGGACTATGACACCTTGCGATTTGGAGGTTATACCTCTGTTGATACATCCTAAGTTTGCATTACCCTGGTTTCTCATATTTAACTTTAGGTCCACCCGTACCTCAAGATCCTGTTCACACACACTGCTGCCCAGAAGTGTATCCCCTATCCAGTATGCGTGTTCCTAATTTTTGTTACCCAGATGTAGAACTCGGCACTTATCCTTGTTAAATTGCATCTTGTTCACTGTCCACTTTTCCAGTGCGTTTAGATCTTGTTGAATTCTATTTTCTGGTGTTCGCTGCTCCTCCCAGCAGGATCTCTGCGTAACCCCCCCCCCCAACATTAGACACTGTCAAAAGCATGACTCTCTCTGCTGTATGTAGAATTAATTTACTCTGTGGGATCTAATCAGCACTATTTTTAAGAAGCAGGAAGGTGCTTGTTCTTTAGGTTTAAAGATATGCTAGGTTTTAATTCTGCTGGGGGGGAGGGACTGTGCTCATCTGTTGCTGCAAAAATTCAACTGAGAGTTCAGTGGCACCCAGAAAATATATTCCAGCATAAGCTTCCGTGAGATGGAGCTCCTTTCATTAGATGCAAGACATTTTGTTACCCTTTAAGGTGTCACTGGACTTCTGTTTAAACTGTTTTACAGTCTCTTTCTAGTGCCAATTGAGCTTCCACAGCATATGAAAGAATTTGGCTTCAGTGTTCCCTCTAAACTGTTAGTGTGAGCTAGCTCACAGTTTTTTAGCCTCCAGGTCACACATTTTTGTCTTAGCTCAGGAAGGATGGCTCCAGAGCAAACTAATTTATGCAGCAGCCAAATCACTCACTCACAGATTTAATGCCTGTAGCGCACAAAGTAGATTTTTTGCTCACAAGACTCCACAGCTTAGAGGGAGCATTGTTTGGTTTTCTTAAATCTGAAAAGATGTATTTTCTACTGATGAGTTATGATGGCTCACCATTAATTATGGACGTAGTGGCTTTGATTTCATCCTGCAAAGTGGATTTCCAAAGACAGACGTTAAGTTCCCACTTACTTGGAGTACAGCATTAGTAAAGTGTGGCAGTTAGAAATCTGGGTTTAGGAACCACAATGACCTGTCCTTTAAAAATCACAATCCCTTTTTTTGCCATTTACAGAATGTTTAAAAAGATACTAACATTGTCATCTTTCAGGGTTCAAGTCTCTCCCTGCTGCCTCTAGAATTTTCAGGGGTGGGGGGAGTGGATACATATAAATAAATGCAAATACATGAACATCCTTTTATTGTCAAGCTTGGCCATACTAAAGAAAGAACCTTCCATGTTCTGGTTTTGACATGGGTATGTGTGATGTTAAGAAATACAGCAGCGAGCAAAAAGGGGCCAACTGTTTCTCTAACACAGTTATAAAAAATAAAGCATTTCTGAAATGTTCATTGTAGCTAGGAGAATTTGCTTGAGAATTCTTCCAGTGCTGGCTCCAGCCATTCGGTTTCAAACTCTGCACCAAACTCCTGCTGTTGAATTGGATCCCAGTAGGTGTGGCTGAAATATTGTAGGGGCGGGCTATAATTTTTGCAGCTCATAGAAATAAAGACAGGACATCCTTCCAGCCTGGAGTTCAGCAAAAACACAACTTTACCCTCTCCCCTTTGCCCAACTTCCATTTCTTGTTCCATGGGAAGGGTACAGAAGTGACCCTACAACAGAGTGGGGATGGTTTGCTGCATCATGTCCTCCCCTCAATTAGCTTTTTAAAAAGGTTTTCAGTTTATTACCAATCATGTGTTATATAAATTCAGACCACAAGTATAAGACACAAAGTAAATTAATAAAATATACTATTATAGATCAACTCAAATAAATCCCAACCATCCACACCATTTCTGAAGATGCTGGGTTGGAGCCAATGACTCCTTTCCACTGAAAGAGGAGTTTTCCTTCTAACAGTGTCATTAGATCTGATTCATTGATTTATTCCAACAATTAACAAATTTTCTCCATTGTTCTACATACAAATTTGCCTCCTTTCTAGCTGCTTTTATTTCTACAAAGCAGATAAATGTGGTCACAGTTGCCTATTGAAACGTGTTTTGTTTCTACTCTTGAAGACCCGAAACAATAGTTCCAACATTTGTGTGCGGTATTTGGGCAGCCCATTCCCCAGATTATCACTGCTGTCTGGTAGCCTTGAATAACTACAGTTTTCCCATATATCTCCTTGGTTTTGTGTTTCTAGTTCGCTATATTTAAAATTGCCTACTTCTTGGTCTCAAACTGTGAACTTGTTCACACAATCATAAACCTCGAGGATTATAGGTTTAGTTAAAAATGTGTGACTACTTTGAAAGGCAATATCCTTCTCTGGGTGAAGAGGTCAGAACGAGACAAGGAAACTGGCTCTGAAGGGCCCTTTGGGGGCTGTCTGTAATGTCTGTCATATGGAACCGCCTGACAGTAGGGAAGTGTCCACAGAGTAGAAATCCAGGCTTGACCTTGGCCCGCTAGGTGTGTTCTGTGGCCTTGTTGTTGCTCAGCAGCCGTCCTGTTTGTACTGTCTCAGACAGGTGATAAATAAAAAGCATTTACCAAGTTTTGGGCTGGTGAGCTGCATTTATTCAATGTGCTGGGCCTTCGGTTGTGCTCACTTACTTTACAGCAGTGTACCTTCTGAGGTAAAATATGTGCTACCAGGTAATTTCCCCCCCTGGTGGTGTATGTGTGGTAAAATATCCTAGTCATGCTTCACCATTTAAGCCTCATACGTCTTCTTCCTCAAGAATCAGAAAAACACAATGCCCTGAATTCTCTCCCTTTTGGGTTTTGGATTCATGACTCTGTTTGTGTTACTGTTGTTCCATGTACATTTTTGGGGTCGCCACTGTGTATGTCTTGGTGGGCTGCGTATATGCCCGTTTGTGTTTTTCTCTCTCCCCCTCTCTCCTGACCCACCTGTCTGCATGTGTTTGGGCATCTGTCTTGTCTGTGTGCTTATCCCTTCTCCTTGACACACTGTTCATCACTGTCAGAAGCCAACTTGTTCTGTCCCATGCTACCCGGGAATGTAACACCCCCAGATCAAAGCCACAGAGTTCTCGAACCCTCTTTCACCACCAGTGGCTCATGGTTCCAGCCCTGGGTGAGAAATCTGAATATCAAAATTCGCTTAGCTGACTAATGCTTTCGCAGATCTTCGGAGGCTCTATTTCCCCTTTCCCATCAGTGGATCGGATCTAATTCGACGGGGGTGACTGCCTGCCATTTACACAAGGGCTTGTAAAACTCACCAAACTTCCTCATAAACTCCCCGCAAAGAGGGTTTCATTTTTAAGAAACTCCAGCCCCGGCTGATATCGGATTCCAGAAACCTCGGCGGGGAGAGTGGTGGACGAGGTACTCCAGACCCGGCATTCGGGGGGGAGAAAAGGTTGGTTTGCAATCATCGCTGTATTGTGTCACTATGTTATTGTATCACATCGTTTTCCTGCATTCTTTTCCCTAATGCATGATAAATTCTAGCGCAGCCTGACTAAGCAGCCGAAACCGAAAAATGCGATCAGAGGAAAATATTTAAGACAGCAAAGTCTGCAGCATTCATGTGGATACATTATCTGCATTATATCGGCCTTGCCGTTGGTTTTGTAGTATAATGGGCTATAGATAATACCCCAGCTAACAAATGCAATGGAAAGCCGACACAGTTATTGGAATATGTGATGTGTGTCACCTAAAGCCAGCAATGTTTATGTTGCAGCATTATCCAAACGAATCCATAATATCAGAGCTGATGCAGGAGAGAAAAGATTAGATAAAGGTTAGTCAAGCTATCAAGACAACTAACATGCCGGCGCTTATATTGCTAAATATATCCATATTTGCAACAGACATTGGATGATAAATTATGTAAGAGATGCAGGGCAAGGAAAGCCTTTTTCTAATAAGTGGCACAATCATAGTTTATAATTTCTGGTTTCAGTGACAATTTTGGGGATATCTTAGGGGGGCTTTGCAAGCCTTCCAAAAATGCTTGCGGGGGGGAAGTTGCCCTGAACGTTTGCATCTCAGGAACCTGCAAATCCTTTGTTTCCTGCGCCTCCCTCTGCTCCAGATTGCAAAGAAATATTAAATTGTCCCAAGTGACATGCTGAAATTATTGCAATGCTTGTTTAATTACCTACTCCGCAGCTTGTAAGTAGAATAGGAGCTGGACTGAATATTCGGCAAATGTAAGCAGCGGCTTCAGCCCCAGCAGCGGTATGTTGATGTGAGCTAGCTGATTTTGGTGTGATGGATTCTGTATTTCTACATGTTGGTTTTAGTAGCAGGAATTGCAATTGAAATAGGCAGTAGTGGATTCTGGTAAATATCTATGTCATATCTATGACAGAATTTGTAAAAAGAGTTTTGGGGGGAGGATAAGGTTTGGCTAGATCAAACATCGACTATTTGCACTCAGGATTGTGCACACCCTTCCAATCGTCCATGAAAATCCATAAAAAAACATCATTTCCTCCATTTTGTAACAGACAGCCTCCCGTGTTGGGGAAATCCACAGTCTTCTGGCAGATTTGAATTCGCTGGTGTTGAAAGATTGCTGATGTGAAATTTGCTGAGTGTCATCCGAAGAAAAAAATATTTTGAAACTGGGAGGAGATTTGATCTCAAAATTTTACAAACTGGTTTTTCAGAATTGCTGCACATACACCAGCTGTTGCTCTGATAAGTTTCCTCATCCAGACTTAAGCCATTTGAATATGAGTTTAACATCCTTCGCCTTAAGAAATAAGCAGCTTCATATATATATGCTAACATCTGAGGCTTGATCACAGGTATTTTGTTTTAATGACACTGAGAACAGGTAGATTAAATGCCACAATTCCTTAATTTACACGTAACTTGAGTAGGAATTTTTCACCACAAAAACAAATTACGGTAAAGCAAGAGTAAAGAAGATGGATAAGCAATTCAGGGGCTCTTCAACATTTGCCAAGACAGAAAATTAAGATAGGCTTATTTTATATCAGGTTTAAGAATGCATCTTTAGAGAAAGCTTGAAAACAAGAAGTTGAAAGATACCAGGTTGGATCCTGGTATGTTTTCCTCTGGCAAAAGCAGGAGGCGGGAGTGCCTCTTCCAAACACCTAGAAGGGTACACCAGAAATCGTAGGACAAAAGCTGAATGGGTCCTGCGGACAGCTAATGCCTACCTGACAAGGCTGGCAGTGTTACAATGGCAAAAAGACTTGTAAAAGCACCAAGTAAGTGGTTGATAATAAACAACTACCAGTAAGAAAAAACAATACCCCCAAACCAGTATGTAGCAGCTGAAGTGCTATTGACGAAAAGTTTGCGGACAACAGCTAAATGGGTCCTGGGACACCAACAAGAAAGGGAATTAGGAGAGCTCAAACAGAAAAACAGATAGGATCCAACCCATCATTTTTATAAGGGGGGAGGACACCGTTGGTATGGCCCGCTAATTGTTTTAGAAACATTTGGAATGTACCCTTTCCTATTGCTTGGATACGCACCCACGTTTGTTTATAAAATTGGTAGGTAGGCACATTGTTCCAAAGAACAATTCTGAAAACAGACGTTGCAACCAAAATATCCCAACGTCGTTTACAAGCTTTTGAGTTTCCCAGAACTCTTCCTCAGGCTGGATGTTCACTACAGAATGGTGTGGGGAGGGGGGTTGGGTGTCCTCCTGAGCCTGATGGAAAAGCCCCCCAGTCTGCAAGAGTTATCAGATCATCAACCTAGCTCTCCAAATACTACATTTCCCCCCAGAGTTTGAGGGCTCAGCTAATACTAGCTATGTTGTTAGTACTGATAGCAAATTGAAGAAAGATGGTACTTGAAGAATATGCCCATTGTTAGATACAAGTATGGTGCTTAGCCTGAATCAGCACTGGCAATGAGAAAATAGGGAATTGTGTCTGCAAAGGTGGAATAGTAGGACAGAAAATGCGCATACGAGAGCAGATTACAAAGGGAACATGTATATGTATATTTATAGCCTTGTTGATCTGTACATTCCCGTGTGTGGTGTGGAACCTTCTAGAATGGCTGACTAACTACTAAGGGCCATCAGTGGGTACTCTGCAAAACAAGTATAATCATGAATCACCATTGAGGTCCATGGAATTACGGCCCTGTGGCTCATCAGCTCCTCAGCTTTTCTTGAACAGCGTTTCAGCTGCTACATACTGGTTTGGGGGTATTGTTTTTTCTTACTGGTAGTTGTTTATTATCAACCACTTACTTGGTGCTTTTACAAGTCTTTTTGCCATCGTTACACTACCAGCCTTGTCAGGTAGGCATTTCTATTACCATATTGAAGGAGGAATTGAATTCAAGAGAGGATGACATGACCGTGGCTGTCCAGGATGTCTGTGGCAGAGAAAGGCTCTGAACTAGCCCTCTCAGTAGTGGATTTTCATCTGTGTTTGGGGCAAGCATGGGGGGGGGGCTTATCCGAAACCTCTTAATGAGGCAATCATGAATGGTGGAATAGTTTCCCTAAAAGACACTTTGGCCACCTTCACTGACTCTCCTATAATGTGTAGTTACAGGAGTCTGTCAGTGTGCATGGGGTTGCAGTTTTCAGTTTACACAAAGCAAGAGCTGTGCTGGTAACCCACATACCACTGAGAAGATGCCCCAGAATCTGCAGCAGTTTGCAAGGGCTCTTTGATATATGGAGGCCACTGCATAGAAACAGTCTGGAAAGGTGAATTGTGAGAAGACTACACCCTCAAATCCCTTCGCTAGTAAAGCATTTTCCTCTTATCTACAGAATTTTTTTTTATAGCAATGGCTATTTTAAATGCAAATGGTTTCTATTGCCAGGAGAGCAGGCAGCCCGTTTCAAAATCTTTCCACCCCAGTGCCTTAAGAACTATAAAATCTGTATGTGTATTTCATTGAAGTAACAGAGAAGATGAACAACAAGACCGACTTGTGCTGCTGTACGACATGGGGATCTTGTTTCATCAGCTGAGGAGCTTGCTTAGGGGTATTGCAGCATTTCACTATTGAGATGTGGAGGCAGTGATAGATTCCCCGTGCTTATTTTGGCTTCCCTTTTAACGGGCCAGAGCAAAATGTACCAGTCATTCAGACCCGAATCTTGTTGAAATCACTGGATAACTTTTGTGTATATTGCTCATATTTATGTTATGTTTTATTCTGCCGAAATTGCAAGAAAGAGAGAAGAAGCTATGGAGATATCTCGCTTGCTTGTCGATTTCCCCCGTTATAAAACGTTTGGGATTTCTGCCTCAGCCCAAAATTGTGAACGAGAAAAACGTTGCATAGATTTCAGAGCAACTTGCTTTGTTGTGCCGCTTCTGGGGCTTCATCTATGTTCTGTGCTTTATCTAGCCATTTCTCTATAGAAGAGACTGTGGATTTGGGCCATCTACTAGTAATCAGTATCATGGCAACAGGCAGTAGATTTCAGCATTAATGCAATGTGGGTTTTTATTTCCCGTTTTCAAAAACCTCTTTTTCAAAAAGGCTTGTAGACCTTTGATAGGATCAACAGGCAACCACAGCATCTGGAAGAGAGTGAGTCTCTTGAAGTACCTGAGCTTGAAAAAAAAATTGTATTTAGGGGGATTTACACAATGCATTTAAAAAAAAACAGACTTCTGATGGCATTGGCGTAACCCTCTTCTGCATATCTCTGATCCTGTTTTGTTTGTTTTGATGATAGCTGCTCAGCGTCCTGCTTTCTTGTTGTCACTTTTGAAGGGGAGGGGGATGAATCCAGCCGCCTGTCCTAAAGTAAATTGAAGTTTAACAAGACACTAATGAAAACCCTTCATTTCTGGTCGTTCTCCAGCCAAATTTAACCATTCTTGAGGCCTTTTGGTTTTCAGTGGGAGAAATCTAAGCAGACAGAACACATCCCTTTGCCTAAACCCTGGCCCTCTGGTCTCAGAAGACAAACTTCAATTAGCATCCAGGATGTGGGGCCTGAAGTAATTGTCATCACATTAATTATCTTGTTACAAATTAAAAGTTAATGATGCACCAAGTTGCTAAAGTGGCAGGGGGGGTAGCGATAACGAGAATAAATAGCGCACATTTGAAATCAGAAGCCAAATTCTTGGACAATCTAACACCACTCGTCCTTGTACACAATCGCAGGTGAGTTCCCAGTTGTAGGCACATTCTTAGGGTTATTCACAGGTGAAATGCTGGTTTGGAATATGCCTGAATTATTCAAAAGCACAGTCCTCTCTGTGTGTGTATATATATATATATATATCTGTCTGTCTCAATCATAACAGAGATTGCAAAGCCAAGGTAGGAAATGGGGGGGGGGGAATAAAAATTTAGCCAGACAAATCAAAAGAATTAGAGAACAGAACCCATCTAAAATAATTCTGATTGTTCTCTCAGCTATGCCATTATTTT